GACCTCACTTTCAGAGTTGGTCTATAAAAAGACCACCACCTTCAGCCTGGTCTATAAAGAATACCACCTTCATCAGAGCGGGTCTATAAAGAAAAACATCTTCAGAGCAGGTTTATAAAAAAGACCAACTTCAGGCTGGTTACTAAAGGCGACCAACTTCTATAAAGAATACTACCTTCAGGATATACCCACCTTCAGTATACCCTATTAAAAAGACCACAGAATACCACCTTCTTCAAAGCTGGCCGAAAAGAACGTCATCATCAGAGCGAGTTTATAAAGAAGATCATCTTCAGAGCAGGTCTATAAAGAAAACCACCGTAGTAGCCTTCAGGCTACTCTATTAAGAAGATCTCCTTCAGGTTGATCTATAAAGAGCTGGTCTAAAAATAATACCACTTTCGCAGCTGGTCTATAAAAAATACCATCTTCAGACTTGGTCTACAAAAAGACCACCTTCAGGCTGGTTTCTAAAGGAGACCACATTTAGAAAGTATCTATAAAGAAAACCACCTCCAGGATGTACCCACCTTCAGTATACCCTATTAAAAACCCCCACCGTCGGGCTGGTCTGTAAAGAATACCACTTTCTTCAGAGCTGGTCTATAAAGAACACGATCATCAAGCGGGTCTATAAAGTAGATTATCTTCAGAGCTGGTCTATAAAGAACACCATCGTTGTAGCCTTTAGGTTACTCTATCAAGAAGAACACCTTCGGAGCTGTTCTATTAATATCATTTCAGAGTTGGTCTATAGAAAATATTTTCTTCAGGCTGGTTTATAAAGAAGTCCACCTTTAGAGCTGGTCTGTAGAAAATACCACCTTCAGAGATCAATAAAAAGACCAATTTCAGGCTAGTATACAAAGAATACCACCTCCAGGCTATACCCCACCTTCTGCATGGTCTATAAACAATACCACCCTCCTTTTTCAGAAGATCATCTTCAGGATAGTTTATAAGAAAGGTCGCATTCAGAGGGGTTCAATAAAGAAAATCACCTTCAGAGCGCGTTTCCACGACAGAGGGGTCTACGATCCGAAACGACCCGAGTCTTACTCGGCCAACGTCTGTAACCTCAGCCCATTGAGTAAATGCAATAGGGGTGTTACAACAACAACCTTCAGAGCGGGTCTCTAAAGTCGGATCATTTCTACTACACTATAGTGGATCCCCTTATGTTCAATTTAGCTATGGTCCATCATTGGCTTTGACTATTTCCATTCCTTTCTGTATAATTCACTAAACGCCCATTTTCTTCAATTTTCCATTGCTATTTTATTGCCCACAACAATAACAAACATCTGTGTGTGTGCAGGAATGTGCATACGAGAGTGAGAGAGAGCGGAAATTTGTAAACAAGACATTGAGAACGTTATTAATTTTGTTCTCCCCCAAAAACATCAGGCAAAAATACGCCAACATGAGTCAGTCGTGTTTGCCCGTTCAAGCGAAAATGTCGAAAGCCAAAAAGGTGTTGGATGAAGCGCGCGAGACACAAAATCGTGAACTCGATTTGGTGGACAAAGGCATTAGCTCCTTTGAGGAGTTGCCGGGATTGTGTAAGTGAATTAACAACAACAATAAATAAAAAAAATTAAAACAACAAAAAACTAACTAACCATAAAAAGTAAACAATGAAATATGTGGTGAAAGAAGAAAAAAATGAAAACAGTGGGTGTGAAATGGTGTTGCCATACCAGAAAGTGTAAATAATACTTAACCAATTAAAAAAAAAAACAAAAAAATTATTAAAAATTTACTAAATTTGTTTCATAAAAGTTCATTTAGATTTGAAGAAGAATTGAAATTGAAAATTATGAATATTCTACCAGCATCTGCCTTCAGTTATGAGGTCATCTTGTTTTCCTACACATCTGTGAAGTAATCAATGTCGAACTGATCTGTCTGTCCAACCCTGCTGTCTGCTGCAACATATCTATGAATGATTTGATTTGGCTGACAACCCACACCTCCAGTGAGCACAGAACAATTATCGATACATCTGTGCGTTTTCCTCCAGCATAAATATGTGTATGCAAGAAATTGTTATTGTTTCCCTTTCTTTTTTGTAAACAATTTACATCCATTATTTGGTAAAATACTTTTATAGAAGTACAAAAAATCTATTGTGTATTGTTGTTGTTGTATTCATAACTTGTTGCTTGAGTTAATTTTATAATCTAACGTCATAAGTAAAACAAATATTGAGGGAAAAAGGAGAAATGTCAAAAAAGAAGAGAGAACAAAACAAATATACATTTGATGTTGCCACATATTTAAAAAAACTTGATTTCCCATATTTGGGGTATATTTGTGCTGTATTTCAATGTCAGGGAAAAACTGTTGAGCGGGGCACTATGATCGCACCGGCAGGGCATTTGATACCTATAAAGAATTCCACCCCTTCAAACTGACATATAAAACAGCCCATTTTCAGGACTGGTCTATAAAGAACACCGCCATCTTCAAGCTGGTCTATATAAAACACATTCAGAGATGTTCGATAAAAAGATCGCCATCAGATATTGTCGTTAAACGACAACATATTCGGGTTGGTCTATAATGAAGATATATAAAGAAAACCTCGACTAACGGGGACCACCGCGGGGAGCTGGTATATGAAGAATACTGACTTCAGGATGCTGTATTGAGAAGACCTCCTCTAGGCTAGACCACTTTCTTCAGGTCTGTAAATAAAAAATACCTTTAGAGCTGATCTATAAAAGGGATTATTTTTAGGCTAGTCTATAACGAAGCTCAACTTCTTCACCCTGTTGTATAAAGAACACGGCCTTAGATAGCGTGACTTCCAGGCTTGGGGGTTATGAAGGCTCAGACGTCCCAGTCACCAACGTCTTAGTTGTGCTCGGGCAACTCGCAGTATTCGCCTCTTTTGGAGGAGGTATCCTGATAGACTTTGCACGTGTTATAGAAATCCTATCAATCAAGGAAAGTCTCGCAATAGTTCCTGGAGAACTTCCGAATGAATTTAAGGTTCCTCTTGACCAGAAGAAACTCCTTATCCGTTATGGAGTATATGTCCCGTCCGATAAACCGGTTGCATTTTTTAACCGCTCTCCGGTAAATCTCGTCAGAGATCACTTTGGCATTGGCTCGTTTAGTGGTTCCAGGTTCCAATTGCCTAAAAAGTCTCGAGACTTCACTACATGCCGTGGTGATGGAATTAGGATCATATTCCTTGCCAGGGTTTACGAACCTACTCATCATCTGAGAGGACTCACCTTGCTTCGGGACTCTGACTGCAAACCGTAGAACACTGATGGGCACGAGGTAGCTTGACACCCCAGCGTTAGGGGGGTCACTTTGGAAGGTAATAACCCAAAACCTCTGAGAGGGATATTTAGAGGCGCCACTCTTGGCTCGTCAATTCAGGGATCATGGGCACTCTGGGAATTCCTCCGAGACCAGCTGGTCCAGAAAGTCTGATCATTTTTACTAATGGATTCCCCAATGTTAAACAGGCATCCTAGGAAGATATTTCCCATCTTGAAAAACCAATTATTGAGTGCATTTGGTTTTTTGGAAGATGTTTTGTCAGCCTTCTTCTTTTCAGCGGTCTTTTTGGCGGTAGGTTTTTTTTCGGCTGCTGTCTTCTCGCCGGCATCCTTTTATGTGGCGGGAGCCTTCTTTTTTTTCAGCAGCCTTTACTTCGTGTTCCTTGGTTTGGGTCCGTCCGGCATTACCGATTAATATTTCCATCGGAGCTTGCCGTTAAAGTATAATACCATCAGGCTAGTCTAGAATGAATACCATCTTCAGATCTAGTTTATAAAGAAGACACACCTTCAGAGCTGGCCTTTAAAGAAAATCAACTTCAGAGCTGGTTTATAGAGAAGACCTCCACCTTCAGGTTGGTCTTTAAAGAACACCTTCTTCTGGCGTGTGTATACATTTGACCACTACCTTCAGACCATGCCAAGCTGTTCGAGGATATAGAAAAGACAAATCTCCGACCGTTTTTGAAACGTTGGATAATCAACCATATGTGCGGACGCCAGTCGTATATGGAATTCAGAAACAGAAAGTCCAAACCCCGTAGAGTAAAACAGGGAGTTTCCCAAAGAGTGGTCATATCTCCGGAACTGTTTAACCCCTTTCTGATATTACACAACCACCGGACGGCATAGAGATCGTAATGTATGCGGATGATTGTATGACCATGGCGTGGGGTCCCATTATTGACCATAGCTACATAGCTATTCTCGTAAATTTCTTCTATCTGAGGAATATGAAAATATCCGTTCACCACATGGACGACTGAAATAAAGCTCCCGCTGATCATAATGGTCGATGAAGAACTGATTCCGACCACTAACTACACCAAGATAATGGGAGTAACGTTCGACAGCCTTTTCAAATCGTCTGCACAAGCCACTGATTTATGTAATTGGGGCGCTCACAAAGAAACCTAGTTGACTTCTTATAAAGCAAAACGCCGGTCAGTGGTAAGCTATGCGGCGCCAGTGTGGTTTGCGAATGTATGTAAGTGATACACAGTGGAAGAATATCCAGACCTGCCAGAATGCTGCCCAGACAACTGCAACATGAGGAGGCACCCCTCATGACACCAGTTTACCATCTCCATTAAAAGACGAAGATCCCGGCCTTACGTCTGCATAACAATATACGCTTTCATTTCAGTACCCGCTTAGGTGATTCAGGGATAATCCTAGCCATCATATTTGGAATAAAACTTCCCAACTAAGGCGTTGCAGGAAGGATATGTGTGTCCTAGAGAGAGAGGTCCAATGTTTTAAAAGGGAGTCTCTAGATCAAGGTGTCTATCAAGCAGGTCTAAATAGCATTCATACTGATGCAGTTGCCGCAGTGCTGAATGAATACCGAATGAACGTCGTCCTCGGAAATCAGCACCCTACACATCGCAACTGAAGAACGTCAGTTGCCCAGACAAACCAGGATAGTTTTGGCCCAATTACGTTCAGGATGGTCCGCAGTCGTTCCCATGATATTTGTTCATAGCCTGGATTGCTGTGTACATGACAATCCATTATGATTGAAAGGCCTGCTGATCTAGGGATCCTCTCTTGTACCGTTGGGCATATCCCTCTATAGATATTGAAGGTAAGGTGCCTTGGTTAGAGAATCCTATCTATGATATAATGGCCAAAAAGGGCGATAAAAGGCACGTTGTCGCAGTACTCAGGACGTAATTCTGGGATGTTTGAATATTCTTCGTGTCGTTTCAGATCTCATTGAAAAAATTGTAAAATGTCCATAACTATCTCACCCATTGTTCATTACATCGACAGTTTTAACCACATAACTAGAATTTTCCAAGTCGAGCTGCAAATAAATGTCATTAAGCTTTTAGGTGAGAATAAAAAAACTTCGACCCTGCCGAATATAACGTGGTTTTTACTTCCTGTACAAATATTTTAAACCTATATTCTTAACAGAAATGTTTCTAAAAATCCTAATTATCTCCTTCCTCTTTTTCCATTTCAGTTAATATGTCCAACATAACCCGCCTAACGTTGAGTCACAATCGCATCACTACCATCAATCCGGGTATTGCAAATCTTTTGAATTTGGAAATTCTCAATTTATCCAATAATCAATTGCGTGAACTACCCGTTTCACTATCATCTATGCCAAAATTGCGTATCCTTAATGTATCGATTAATCGTTTGGATAGTTTACCACGAGGTTTTGGTGCCTTCCCTGTACTCGAAGTACTCGATCTGTCATATAATAATTTAAATGAAAAAGTACTACCGGGAAATTTCTTTATGATGGAAACATTGCGTGCCCTCTATTTGGGTGACAATGATTTTGAATATATACCACAGGGATTGGGAAATTTGAAAAATTTACAAATTTTGGGTTTACGTGACAACGATCTGCTGGAGTTGCCAAGGGAAATTGGAGAACTGACACGTTTACGGGAACTACACATCCAACACAATCGTTTGCAGTTCCTGCCTCCAGAGGTGGCACAATTGGATTTATTGGGCAGTAAATCCGTCATGAAAATGGAAGAGAATCCCTGGGTCCAACCAATTGCCGAACAATATCTATTGGGTATTAGTCATGTCATTGAATATTTGAAAACGGAAACCTATAAAATGTAAGTTGTGTGCGGGTACATAAATGTGGAATTTTTTAATAATATATTTATTATTTCCTTTTTACAGCATTTATAACCGCCACATCCAGGGTGGCCGTGGTGGTCCACCACCACCAAAAGCCGACAAAAGCAAAAAAGCTTCACGTGTCCGAGCCTAAGGGTGTGGGGATTTTTCTAACATCACATTATTTTCAACAGCTGCGAATAATAGTGCCTTTTGGAATTTATTTTTTAAGTCATTTAAATGTGCGTGTGTGTTCTTTGTACTAATTTTAAAAAGAAATCTATATTTTGCTTGTAACATAAAATTAATTTATATTGTATTTTAAAATAAAACAATTTTTTAACCAATTTATATAAAGCTATAACGTTTCCAATGTAATGAATGGATAATGAAAGGGTCAGGATAGTTTTATAGGAGAAATACCAACAAGTTTACCACTATTGGATTTTTTTCAAAGCTGCTTTTGTGACCCTCTAAAATAATTAAAATACGAATATTGGTGGTATTGGTTGTATGGATGCTATATTATTTTTGGTAAGGATAGTTTTTACCAATCAGAATCCATAATACCTAATCATTTAAAATATACGTTGTAAATCCTCAATAACATTAAATTGAGGGTACCATTGTAAGAGGTC